AGCTGGCTGGGCCGTGTGTGCTGACCCAGGAACACCACCAGTGCTCCTCGTCCAGCCAGCCCCTGGCCTTGGCGGCTCCCACCCTCACCTCCACCCTCTGACTGAGCTTTGCATGTCCCACTAACCCAGGCTGGTGGCAGGTGGAGGTGCCAGGCAGAACACTAACCTGACCATGGGTGGGGCCTTGCGGCACCCACCCCTCAATAAAAGCAATTCCAACCTTCCTGTGGACCTTGCCTTGTTTTTTGGTTCAGGGTTCACTGGGTGTTGGGTTTGAGAGCTGTTGCAGTCCAGGCTCTGGGATTCAGGCATCAAGCTCAGCTACTATTTCCCTGGCTAGGATGGGACCTGTGGAGGCACTGGCTGGAGGGTGGACATATATAGGCAAGAAAACTCAGGTGGTGGATGGAGGGTGGGCGGGGCCACGCTGAAGACCCCGCTGAGGCCTGCTGCCGGTCCAGCCAGTGGCTATTCCCCAGCCAACCTCTTAGATGTGATCTGCAGGCCTCACTTGAGGTTCCTCTTCGAAGGGCTCTGAACCTATATTGTTCACTGGCTGTGGCTGCTCCCTTTGAGGAGGGAGCAGTGTGACCCTGAGTGAGCTTGTACCCTTAGGTCCAGGGCAGCCCTCCAAAGGAGGTGAGACTCATCAGCACTGACAGTCTCTGAAGGCCACACCTTGGCCTTTATCCTGCCGGATTCTCAGATGAAGCTTTTTGCAGTTTCTAGGAAGGCTTGCTGGAGGTGTGTGTGGGGGCAAATCCAGCCACTGAAAGCCACTGGCCTGGGATTGTGATGCTGGTGTGTGCCACCATGCCTGGTTTTGGTGGCCAGCACAGTGTGCATGGCTCACTCAGTTCCAGGGCTGGCATGGCATGTGGTACCAGGGATCAAACCTGGGACCTTGAGCTTGCCAGGCAGGCACTTAGACTGCCGAGCTATCTCCCAGTTCAAGGGCTTTTTTTTTTTTTTTAAGTGTATTTAGTACAAGGTCTGTAGGGTCTCACTACACAGATTGGACTCATAGTGGTCCTGTTTTCAGCTGGGATTTCAGGCATGCGCCACCACGCCTAGTCTCAGTTACTGTCTCAGCGCACCCTGGAGGTGGGACCGGCACCACATGCCAGGGATTGAACCCTGATCCCTGTGCCTTCCTAAACAGGCGCTTTGGCCCACTGAGCTATCTGGCCAGCCCAAGGTTGGCATTTTTTGATCTCTAGTTTTCAAGGCTCATTATTTTCCAGCTAGGTCTTTGGGGGAATCCTGTATCTAGCTTCTCAGATGCGTGCCTGACAAAGAAGGAAATCCTTTGGGATGAAAAACGCATGATTTGATTTGGTGGTGGTGGTGACATCTCCCTGGATAAGCTGTTGGTCAGACTCCCAACTTTGAATTTTAATATCCTGCAGAACCTGTATCCAAGACTGGACCTTCATAAGCAGAGATCTTGTGTGAATTATGGATCCTCAATTGGCTGGTTATGTTCTGGATTCTGTCTGAAATCCAGCAGATGGAATCCGCTGGATTCTAGCTGTAACTTTAGCTTCTACTGGGCTTTGATAACCTTGGGTGGATCCCTAGGAAGTACAGACCTTAAAGGAGAATGGTGTCAGAATCTCACTGGCTGGCTGGCTCCCCCTGGGAGCTTTGGCCATGTGTTCTGGAGAGCCTCGTACAGAGAAATTACATCAACATGGTCCTGGGTCACTTCCAGCTGGGGTCATCTTTTCTATAGTTCAAGCCCCCAAGCAGGGCCTACACAGGGTTCTCAAAAAATATCCAAGCCTTCAAACATGATCTCAAAATCTAAAATGAGACACAGGAAACAAGTGTCATCAGCATAAACAAAAGCAGAATTAGAATCCGAAGGACAGGATATTAGAATTACTCAACAAAGAATATATAGCAAGTATGTTTAAAGTGTTTATGAAACAAGCTGGGCGTGGTGCCACATACCTGTAATCCCACACTCTGGGAGGCTGAGGGGGATGGCGAGTTCAAGCCCAGCCTGGGCAATTAGTGACTGGGAAACGTCTCAGGAAAACAAGTTGAGGGTGTATTTTAGTGCCAAGGACCTGGGTTCATCTGCCAAAAACAAAAAAATGTTTTTGAAGTTTAGAACCTGAAAATACTCTTTTTAAAAAGGCCCAGAAGGTCATAAAGGAATTTAACAGAATTTTTAGACATAAAACATAATGGCATTTAAAACTTAATGGCAGTCAGTTGTGGTGGCGCAGGCCTATAGTCCCAGCACTTGGGAGGTGCAACAGAGTGTTTCCACAAGTTTGAGGCTGACCTGAACTACACAGTTCAAGTTCAGCCTGAGCTACATAGTAAGACCCAGTCTTAGAAAACAAGTCAATGGCAAATGGTATGGTTGCATGCACCCATAATCCCAGCTACTTGGGAGGCTGAGGCAGAAGAATCACAACTTTGAGGCCAGATGAGGTGAGGCAATTTAGGAAGACTATGCCTCAAAACAACCTGGTTAAGGGCCAGCGAAATAGCTCAGCGAATTAAGGCGCCTGCAAGCAGGCGCAGGGGTCTGGGGTTCGATCCCCGGGCCTGTTGAGACAGCAATTGAGACTGGGCATGGTGGTATGCTCCTGTAATTCCAGCTCTTGGGAGGCTGTAAACAGGTGGATCACTACGAGTCTGATCTAGTAGTGAGACTGTGAACACCCGTAGACACTTCCCTAAAAAACAAAAACAAAAAACTAGTGAATTAGGATATCTGAAGAAGTTACTCAGAATCCTTTCTAGAAAAATAAAAGGATGTGAATATGGAGGAGCAGTGAAGAGATAACATGAAACAGTTTCTCACTGGTCTAATTGTGAAGGCCCTGGAGGGAAACAAGGAGAGAAGTAATAGCCAACAATTATTTTCCAAATGGATGAAAAATATGACTCACTATCAAAGAGCACGATGAGACCAAACCATGACAAATTAAAACATCTACATCAAAATGCATTGTAGCAAGATGGCAGAAAACCAAAGAGAGAGAAACTCAAAGCAGCCAGAGAGAAAAGATAGATTACCTGCAAAAGGGTGACAGGCCAACAGCAGCTATCTCACCAGCAGCCACGAAGCTTCTTCTTTTTTTTTTTTTTTTAAAGGATGGCTGCAATGCTTTTTTTTTTTTTAAATTTTATTTTATTTTATTTATTTATTTGTGTGTGTGTGTGTGTGGCCAGCTCAGCCCACCAGGGGGCGGGGCTGGCTGGCATGTGGTGCTGGGGGATTGAACTGTGGTCCCTGTGCTTTGCTAAGCTTGTTCTAAGTATGTGCTTTAGACCACTGAGCCATCTCACCAGCCCCCACGAAGCTTCTTATAGTGTATCCATCCATCAGGAAAGTGGCTTTCACTGCACATCTTTTGGACATGCAGAATCTTGAGGCTCACTGGGACTGCTGATTCAGAATCAGTTCCTTCCTTCTTCCCCTCTCCTTCCCTTCATTCTTTTCTTTTTTGAGATGAAGTTTTGCTGTGTTGCCAGGCTAGCCTTGAGCTCATGAACTCAAGCAATCCTTTGCCTCACGCAAGTGCTGGGACCATCGACATGTACCAAGATCAACACATTAATGAAGTATGTGTGCATGCGTTGGAAATTGAACACAGGACCTTAACATCCCCAGCCATTTCTTCATTTTCTTGACACAGGGTTTCCCTAAGTGGCTAAGTTTCTCAGGCTGGGCTTGCAATCTTTTTGCCTCAGTCTCCAGAGTACTAGGATTACAGATGTACACCACCACAATGAATTTGATGTTAAAGTATTAATTTTAGAATTGCTTGACAGTTTAATGAGACATTTAACTAATGCTCAGAAGCACACAAAAAGATGTAATTTTGCAAGGAGGGGGCTAGTAATGGAACCCTCGGCCTTAGATAGTTATTCACACACTCTAGCACTGAGGTATACTCCAGCCTTCATCATATGCTTATCTTAGTCTCTTCTTTCTGTTACAAAATACCACAGACTAGATAAGTTATGGCCCTAGTTGATGAGTTATGGCCCTAGTAAGAATTGCTGAATTATTATGGTGGTCATCTAATATGGCTGAAGCCCTTAAAACAACAGCTTATCTTCCCAGAGACCACCTCCCCACTTCTTCTCCAACTTAGCCCAGGATGTAGTTTTCTTTCACCTTACCTACCACCTCAGGGAAGGGCCCAGTCAGCTCCTCAGGTCTGTCTAAACATCCCCCTCAAGCCCCACCCCTGGCAAAGGCCATAAAAGCCTCAGCCTCCTTTTGTTCCAATCCAGAGAATTCCTTATCTCCCCAAACTCTCTGTGTCCTCTAAGATAATGAAGCCCCTTTTCCTTTACAATAAAGCCCCTTTCCCTTTTCCTTCTGTGTGTTTCTCTGCTGCGACACCGTTAAAACCTATCAGTTATGAATAACAACAGAAAGTTATTTTTCAGTTTTGGAGGCATGGAAGCCCCCTGGCAGGCTCTGGTTTGGTGAGAGCTTGTTCCATCAGCAGTGACTTTCCATGGCAATGTCCTCACATGGCGGAAGGGCTAAGTGGCTGTTTGCTTATGGAAGGCGGGAGGGAGGGTCGAATGGGTCTAGCTAAGTTTTCTTCAGTCTTTCATAACCCCACAAATCCTGTTCATGGCTTCTAAAGACCACACACTACAACACCATTGCACGAGGTAGTAAGTTTCCACATGAATGCAGAGGAGACATCACGCAAATTTCAGCACACCACACATTAACCATCAAGGAAATGCACATCAGGACCATATGAGACGTTATCTCACACCCAATAGGACAGCTTTAACCAAAAAGACAGACAATAAACGTGTTAGAATTTGGGGAAAGTGGAGCCTCGCACAGAGCTGGTGCAAATGTGGAATGGTAAAGTTGCTCTGGAAAACATTCTGGCAGGTCCACAGGAGTTAAACCCAGAGTTACCATGTGGCCTAACAATGCCATGTGTAGGTTTGTGTACCCAATGGAGATGGAAACATGTTCATACAAAAAGTTTTACAAGATCCTTTGGTTCATGATTGTGATGATTGGGTGTTCATGCCTTATGCATCAGATGTGCCTCCCTCAAACCTTGTTAAGATGTGGGCACATTACCCATCTGATATGAAAAAAATGAAAGAAGAAAAAAGAAAAAAAGAAAAAAAAGAAAAGAAAACAAAAAGAAAGAAAAAAAAGTTTTACATAGCTCATCAAATGGGGCCGGGGAGATGACTCAGTGGAATAAGCACTTCCCAAGGGTCTGAGTTCAGTCTCCAGTTCCACCAAAAAAACAAAACAAACAAACATAGTTCAAGTGCCCGTTGAGTGATAAATGGAAAAATAAAAGGTGGTCCATACATATATAAGATATTCAGCCCTGTACAAGAAGGCAATCATGAAACATGCTACAACATAGATAAACCTTGAGGTTGCATGGATTGGAATAAGTCAGTTACAAAAGGACAAATCCTGGAGGATTTCATTTTCAAATGCTCCCTACTTATTTAGAGTAGCTGTCTGCCTTTCTCTTCCCCCTTCCCCCACCCTCAAATAAAAATAAAAGAGACAAATATCATGTGATTTTACTTACAAGAGGTACCTAGGGTCGCCAAATTTATAGACAGCAAACATGGTGGTCAGAGGCTGGGAGGAGGGATAGATGAATTATTGCTGAATAATACGGTACGGAGCTTGAGTCTTGCCAGATGAAAAGAGTTCTGGAGATGGAGGTAATGGTGGCTGCACAACAGTGTGAATGTATTCAATGTCAGAACTGTATACTTTAAAATGATTAAAATGACATATTTTACCACAAGTTTTTTAAGAAAAAAAATGATTTTTTTTTAAGTTTTTGAAATGATAGACTTGGACTTCCATTTCTGTTCAAGATGGAGAACAAGAACCAAATTCTTCCCATTGAAGAAATGAAAACATTAAATAAAGCGAGTGAGGCTATGGTTGGCCAGGCATGGGCCATTAAGCAATGAAGGGTAGTGATCCTTGTGCAGGCAAAACCCCAGGGCAGTTCCAGCTTTCTGCCCCGAGAGAGCATCCGTGTCTGGGCATGGAGACCCGGTGGGAGCTCGGAAGGTTCGGCATGGATGCCTTGGGTCAACATGGAGCTGGGAGTCCTGGAGGCAGGCAGCTAGAAGTGGCGCGACAGAAACCAAATGGAGGGCACTGCGCAGGGAAGGACTGGCCACAGCGCGTGTGCCACTCTCCTTCTGCAGTGGGGAGGAACAAGCAGAAGGACCAAAAGCAACCCAAAGAGCCCCCACAGGACTGAGAGCACTGGCTGCTCCTGCCAGCCAGAATGAAAAACCTGTAATTCAAGAGCCTCAATAGAGGACTCATGAGCCCTAGTGGTGAGGAAAGGGTCAGTCCCAAAACAAAGCTCAAAAATGTTTGTAAGACATGAAAATATGTGGCTATTCCTGTGCGATTATAAAACAGTAAAATACACCACACCTGGCAGGTAACAATAAACTGCCAAACATGCAAAATGGGGCAGGGAGGAGGCAAAATATGCGACCTCTAACACACAGACGAGTCTGTCCAAGTGTCACAGATGTAGACTCGGTAGACAGGGACACAGAGTTGTTAAACTGCATCCATATTTTCCAGAAATTTAGGAAAGAGTGAACAGGTTAAGTAGAGACAGAAGAAAGAACCAAATTGATCTTCTAAGTGTGAAATCTACAAAGCCTGAGATGACAAATACACTGGATGTATTAACAACAGATTAGATACTGCAGAATGAAAGATTAATCACATTGAAGAAATAGCACAGGAAACTATCAGAAATGAAACAGAAAATGATTTTTTTGAGAAAATGAATTTTATTTTATCATTATTATTATTATTTTAAACATGTTTAGTACAGGGTCTACAGGGTCTCACTACACAGATTGGACTCATAATGATCCTCCTGTTTTCAGCCTCCCAAGCACTGGGATTACAGGCGCGCACCACCCCGTCCAGTCTCAGCGCGCTCTGGGGCCAGGGCTGGCACGGCACCCCGGGTATCAAACCCCAGTCGCTGTGCCTGCCTAAGCACATGCTTTAGTCCACTGAACTATCTGGCTGGCCTGAGGAAATGAATTTTAAAAGATGAAAAGAGTAACAAAGATCCATGGGACAACTCCAAGCAGCTTAAAGTACTTCTGAAAAGGTGGAAAGGCATGAGAAATAGTGGCTAAAATGTCCCCAAATTAGATTAAAACTATAAAGTTCTATGCCCACGAATCTTTTTTTCTTTTTCTTTTTTTTGTATTTTTAGGGGACTGGCCAAGTAGCTCAGTGGATTAAAGTGCCTGCAAGCAGGCGCAGGAGCTGGGGGTTCAATCCCCTGGCCTGCTGTGCCAGCCCTGCCCCCAGAGTGTGCTGAGATGGCAATTGAGACTGGGCCTGGTGGCACACACCTGTAATCCCAGCTCTTGGGAGGCTGTAAACAGGTGGATCACTACGAGTCCAATCTAGTAGTGAGACCCTGAGCACCCTGTAGACCCTTCCCTAAAATACAGAAAAATTAAAAACAAAACAACAACAAAAAAAAACTATTTAGGTTGAACCAAGAATTAAAGTTATTGGGGGCTAGGGAGATGGCTCAGTAGAATAAATGCTTGCCTGGCAAGTGCAAGGGTCTGAGTTCAATCCCCAGTTGAAAAAAAAAAAAGACTAGTATTTTTAGGGAAGGGTCTATAGGGTGTTCAGGGTCTCACTACTAGATTGGACTCATAGTGATTCTCCTGTTTACAGCCTTCCAAGAGCTGGGATTGCAGGCATGTGCCACCATGCTCAATCTCAATTGCCATCTCAGCCTGCCCCTGGGGTGGGGCCAGCATGGCAGGCCTGGGGATCGAACCCCGGCCTCTGCACTTGTTGGTAAGTGCTTTAATCCTCTGAGCTGTTGGGCTGGCCCATATGCCCACAAATCTTAATAAACTTCAAATTCAAGAACATGGTAAGATTACACCAAGACAATCTTACTCGAGTTGCTTTAAACCAAGAATAAAAAGAAAATTTTAGCCAGGTATGGTGGTACATACTTGTACCTGGAAGACCGAGACAGGAAGACCACCAACCTGGGCGACTTTGTGAAGTCTTGTCTCAACAGGCTGGGGCTATCGCTCAGTCACAGGGGTCCTGGGTTTCACCCTGGTATTGCTAGAAAATTGTTAACTGATTGTGTCAATTTGAGTAAGAATCACAACTAAATGAGATCAGCTTAGGTCTGGGTGTGCCTGAAGGGATTTACTGAAGAGAGAAGACCCACCAGGGGTGTGAGTGACACCAACCAATAGGCGTGAAGCCTGGGTCAAATGAAAGGGAAATGAAAGACTTACCATGAGAATCTCCAGTTTTTTTATTTTTTTATTTTGGCGGAACCAGGGATTGAACTCAGGCCCTTGTGCTTGGCAGGGAAGCGCTTATTCCACTGAGTCATCTCCCTGGCCCCAGAAGCTCCAGTCTTTACCTTCATGGTGGATGTCATCTCCTGGCTTCTAGCTCAAACTTTTCAGTCTTTCAGTGCAGACCTTTCAGTCACCTGATATGGACTCATGTGGGACACTGTACTGAGCTCCAGGCCTTTGACCTTGGCCTGGAGCCATCAGATCTCCAGCAGGCAGGCAGCCTGTTTATGCTCTTCTATATCTGACTCTGTAGTCGACAATTTAGGCCTACTTTGTAAATCTTCATATATTTTATATTTTATATTAAATCTGTTTTTCTGGTTAGCACTGACTGATACAAAAATATGCATGAGTCATGATTAAAAACTCCAGTGAAAGCTTAAATTAGAAATTTATTACAGTGAGAAACACTGCCATTCTCAACATCCCTCCTTAAAATACTCTCCTTTGTTTCAGGCACCCTTACGCAGTTGTTCTGAGCACTTTCCAAAGTGGTTCTGGGAGTCTTCTTTTGTGTCTTCTCATGGCTGCCTTGATGCCCTGAATCGATGAAAAATGTTATAGCAATTTCTGTCAAAAACATCAACAGTATGTCTTCATCTGCCTTATTCCCTGGATCTGCTCCAAGTGACTTCTGGCTCTTCCTCCAAAGCAAAGTGACCGTGAAAAGGTCAGGCTAGCCTGGCCAACTCAGTGAGAACGTATCTCAAAATAAAAGTTAAAAGGCTAGGGATATAGCTCAGTCATACACACTTGCCTAGCATTCGTGAGGCCCAGTACCTCCCCACACAACATAAAAGCAAGACCCAACTGTATGCTGCCTATAAAAAAAAAAAAATCATAGTTTAACATAAAGACACAAATAGGTTAAAAATATGAGTGAGGACTGGAGGTGTGGCCCAGTGGCAGGGCACTTGCCTCATATGAGAGAGGCCCTTGGTTCAGTCCCCAGCACCACAAAATACTTACATACATACATGCATACATAGGAGTGGAAAATATATTAGAGACTAATACTAATCATAAGAAGGTAGGAGTGGCTAGGCTAATATCAGATACACTAGTATCAGAGATTTT